TTTTTTTTTTTTTTTTTTTTTTTTTTTTTTTTTTTTTTTTTTACAACGAGTTTAAGAAAAGCTGCATTTGTCCACTAGAAACTACCGAACACTGCTGTGCTTGTGGTTTTCACCCACAAAAAATATTGGGGGAAAAATACAAATGTTTCTAGAGATTGTCCACATTTAAACAATGAGAAGGCTCCCTAAAATAAAGCTATAGTTGTTTTGTTTTCTAAAATTCCTTTGGATTTGCCCTGTCCTGGATGACTGAGATTCCACACCAACACATTTTTGTCTTAAAAATGACCACAAACCACTGATAAGAATAAACCATTACAAATAAATTAATGTTATATGTTATTAATTTATGTTCTTTGTTTAATTTGTTTGTTTGTTTGTTTGTTTGTTTGTTTGTTTGTTTGTTTGTTTGTTTTAACCAAATAGTCAGAGGAAAATAGGAAAAAACAACTGTTTTCATTAGTGGTTTTGGCTCCTCTGGGTCTTGCAGCTCCCACTCCGGTTCTGCAGGGGGCGCTGAAGAGCTTCCGGCTGCTCTCTTCCGCCCATCAGCGCTGCAGAGTCTGACCGGAAGAGGAACTTGAAAGAAAAGATGCTGAAGATAAGATGCCACGTTCACCTATAGACATTTTTGTGCACCGATTTTATTCGCAAAGTATAAAACTTACACGTTTTTTGTTTTTAAGTCGATAGTAGTTTAAAACATAAGCAGTAAAAATGTCCACAGGTAAGCTTTTTTATGTTACTTAGACAGAAAATGTTGGGTTAACTCAGGTTCAGGTAAAATATGCGCAGCAAGCACGAGGTGCTCACGAGACTAAATAGCTTAAATTAATTAGTAGTTTTTGTGAATGCTCGGTTGCACAACACATCTGTAAAGACAACGAATATATTGTGATAAATGTGCACATTATTGCATATCGTTTTCAAATCTTTAACCATTTCAGATCAGAAAGTTGTAGGATTATTAATACTCTGTGTGCCTTCAGTACTTATACAGGAAGATGGTGACCTTGCTTCAAGTCATCATAAGGAGCTGAAATTCTGAAACATGCAAAGAGGTGAGGATCATTTTAGTGGCTTCATGAACAGCAAATTTAAAGTGTGTTTAATTTCAAACTACCAGAAATAAAAATTGTAAGCAGGTTATTTTTGTTGATTATTTTTCCCCCCTTTCTGAATCAAAGCTGGGAATGCATTAGGGTTACACAAGAACTACATAAGGTTGGATGTTAGTAAACTGAAAGTTAGTACAAGCCACAAGGTTTTGTTAAAAAAAAAAGGTAGGAGAATGTTCTTAAAAAAACACAAGTAAAAGAAAACTATTGCATTGGACTTTTAATTGTTTTCATCTTTTATTTCACTTCCAACACAAAGCAGATTTTTGTCCACTGGGACATGTCTATTTCCTGGCAAACCCAACGAGAGCATCAACACAAGTTAAAGTAAAAGACCCATTTTATTTTTAGCATGTTCCTAAAATTGCCTTCAAGTAGCAGCAACATGAAGTGTAAAAAGAGCCACCTAGTTGTTAAGTTCAGTGCATAAACGGCAACATAAATGTGCCTGAACAATGGATCATTGAAATCTACTGATGAGTGAGTATAAAACTGCCTGGTAATCTGTGTGATGATCTGAGCTTGGTTTAGTGTTTGTATTCAGTTTGAMGGTCATTAAGTGAATTTGGTTTGTATTTTTGACCCTGACCTTTGGTTTCCATTCAACCGTCAACCAGCTGGTTGTATTTCCAGGGTATTTGTTGCATGTGTTTGAATGCATGGCTGAATTCTGTGTTACTTTGTGATGTWGTAAATACAGTCAGACACCATGCTACATGAATAAATTCACACACTGACACTAATAGATCAGAGTGGTTTTGTGTGCCACTTTTCGTGCGTCAGGCTGAATACAGTAACAAACTTCAGCATGATTCTCTTGTGCTGTTATTGTTTATTTGAAATAAGTGTTTCTAAGTCAGGGGTCTTTTCCCCCCCTCATAGTCTTTATTTTGTGCTTGTTTGTTGTAGAGTTGTGCAGCATGTGTTAACGGACTAATCCAGACTCAGACGTTGCTGTAACTAACCTGTGAGAAAGGGTTTCCCACAGGATGGTATGTTTGTACTCTCTCTATTAACACCATGACCTATGTCATAAATGTTTTGAGCACTGAAAACATATCCCAAGCCATGGCTGAATTCTGGTCCAGCTGTTCCGTGYTGGATCCAGTCAGACACCATGCAAAAGCCTCGACTCATTCCTGCATAACGACCGGACGAGCGCTTTTCATCAGCTCCGTCCGACTCTGTAGTACTGAGCACAGTGATACACTTRCATGTTTTGGATGGTTTCTTAATGATTTTTCTTCTGTTTCCTAAATTCTGTAGGGCGTCCAGCTTTCGTTTGTAAAAAGGAAAAAAAAGGACCCTTGGAAATCGTGGTTCATTCAGCTGTGGTAACTTGTTTTATTTCCAGAATTTTTCACTCATGTTTTTAAGCGATCAGACTCTTACACCGGGTGTTTCCCCTCCACAATTTGCTAATTATAACAACTATTTAATGTAGCACTAATGCTCTGAAGTCATGAACAGCAGCGACTTCAATGAACGCCTAGCACTCAATGGTCTGTGATGATTTATGCAAAAGTTTTCCATTTCTTCAATAAAATCGAACATGTGCTGAAACCGTGCCTGTTTGTGGTGAATTATTACGTTAAGTTTAATGTTTTTACTWATAAGACATTGGATTAAGTGAATGAAAGTTTTAAATTACACATTAAAAGCAATATAATATAWACATTACATCCTTCATATTTGCGTCTGTAAGTTGTTGCTTTAAGTATGCAGCTTCACTGATTATTAGTCGCAACATTTCCAAGTTCTGAAGCAAACATTTAAAARTGGGACACATTTCTAAATAAAATCTAAATTTTTACCAAAAAGTAACATTTAAGCACTTTTGAAAATGGAATTCTGTAGAAAGGTTAAATACCATATTTACGACTTTWGAAGTCTTTAATCAGTCTGATTAGAATTAACTTCTCYAAAYTGAGGTCATTCAAAGGGTAACATCTAMAACAGGTAAGATGTTAATCGTTATGAAGTATGCCATGAACCCCACTACAGCAGATCTAAATATTGCATCAAATTAAACATCAAAACTTTATTCTTCGTGCAAGATGGAGCCTTGAGTTAAGTACATTCAGAGTATACAACTGATTTTAAAATAAGCAGCTTCAATTTATCAGTTCATCCTTGTTTTTAAAAAAAAAGAGGGATGGATGGTCAAGCAAGTCGCAGTCTTTCAGTTGTGTTACCAGCTGTGTTGGCCCTGCTCCTCAGCCTCGGCAGCTAGTGACAGCAGGATGGCTTTCGGAGAGTTCTCAAAAAGCGCTGCTCTGTTCTGAGTTTGACCCTTCTTGACCCAGTGGCCGTAGATCCTGAAGGCGCAGGCGTCGATGAGTTTCCGGATGGGTTTGACGGCGTACGGGTCRCTCTTGATGACCTCCTTGGTGACAGGCTTGGCCCGCCTGTAGCTGCAGTAGATTCTCATGGTGGCGAGCACAGTCATACAAATGACCTTAAAGGAAACCACAAGATTATTGTGAATAAATTTTAAATGGTATATGCTTTTTTTATTTTTTGATAAAAGCTTTTCTAAAGACTTTCAGTTCACCTTGAACTTCCTGTAGGGACTGAACTGCCGCACTTCGTTCACCACATACTGTGAGAAAAAGGAGTGATTCAGAGCATCTGAAGCTGTGAACCGCTGCACTGGGTCCACCACCAACATCCTGGAGATCTGGACAAACCAAACATGCATGACGCTAACTGCTTTGTCTTTTTAATAAGGGTTCATTCAAGCTTTATTAAATCTGTGAAGGAGATGCTGATCAAACTAAGCGCACCAGATCTTTGGCCGTGTCTGAGCGGTCCTCCCACTCTGGAGATGAAAAGTCGTATTTCCCCGCTAGGATCATCCGCAGCATCAGCATCTGTTTCCTGTGCCAGAAGGGCGGGGAGCCTGCGAGCAGCGTGTACATGATGACTCCTGCACTCCATCTGCAAACATTCGGGAAATTGACATGYATCAACAGCAAATAATACTTTTTTACTTGGGTTTTAGGGAGTTAAATGAGTATTTGGCACCGTTTTAAATGTGTTTGTGGAGGCTCACATATCAACAGCTGTATCGTATCCTTTGTGTCCTGCATCCATGGAGCACTCGATGATCTCAGGAGCGAGATAACTAGGGGTCCCACACACATCTGTGTTTTCAACAAAACAATTACTGCTTAAAACGTTTGTTATTCTTCTTGGAAAAGTGTTAACTGTGTCCAAAGAACTGACACTTCAAATTAAACCTCTTTGATTTAATGCAATAAATCCAATAACCCAAACTCTGGGATTGAAGGGGGTCTGTTACTTTACACCAGGGATATTCAACTGGTGGCCCACCAATTGGTTCATTCATCTCTTCAGCCCAAACCCCCAGTTTTCTACTTTAATTACTGTTAGTTCTTTTAGTTAAACAGACACGTTTGTGGATAGAATTCATTGGTGCAGCCAATGAGAGGAAGAGGTCCAATTTGGTGGCCTCCTGATTCAATCTGTTATTTGCAGATTTTTTTTTATTTTCTTTTTATTTATTTTTCTATTTGCAGATGTCTTGTTGGCATCAGCTGTGATCTCCAACAGTTTGCAGTCGATTATGAAGCAGCTGGAATGAGGATCAGCACCTCCAAATCTGAGTCCAGAGTCCTCAGTTGGAAAAGGGTGWATTGCTCCAAGCATGTCCAACTGGGAGGTCACCGGGGGGCTTTTTTACCACTCAGTTGTAACCCCGGTGGAAGATATCTGTGATGACATAACGTGCACAATCTATTTTGGCTGCATGATCGTGTGTCTGACATATGATTATCAGGTTGTAGACGTGCATACCTCCCACACTGAAGCTCTGTCTTAATACAGACTGTCTGCCCTCAGCTGAGATTCAGTCCATCAGAAACTTCACTCRCCAGCTCCTACTGTTAATGATCTTAAGCCTTCTGAGAAGTCTATTTAAACACAACCGTCTGTGACTGCAGCTAACAGGCTGGAGCGTCCTGTGCTCTTCACAGCTACGCAGCGCGTTTTGCAACCAGATCCAGATTCTCCAGCAACCCACTAACAGCTGGTGTTCTCACAAGCTCACTGTTAGGGAGCAAAGACGTTAAGTTTACAAGCGGAGAAAGACCACTTGAATATCTTCAAGTGAACTTCCAGGGATTGAAACTGTATCTGGTATTATGGGGAGGGGGTTCCAATTTTTGACCTAAATTAGTTGAAATCTGATTTTATTTTAAGCAGCGAGTTGTTCAAATAGRAACAGGATTTATGTAACTGTAAACAAAAAAATAAATGTTATGGAGATTACCAATCTCTGTGTAAGATTCCATGTTTGCTCACCTTTAAGTCTCTGCCCTGGCTGGACTTGCACAGCAAATCCAAAGTCAGTGAGTTTGATGTTCATGTTGTCGTCTAAAAGGATGTTTTCGGGCTTCAGGTCTCGGTGGACGATGTGCTGGGAGTGAAGGAACTGGACCACCTCCAGCAAAGCACGCATTATCTTTCTAAAACACAGCACTGAATTTTAAGCCCTTTTTAAGAAACAATGCTGTGATCTTTCATCGGGAAAACGCTCTCTCACCTGGTTTCCTTCTCAGTTAGAGTAACTTTCTCTGTGAGGTAGTCAAAAAGTTCACCCTTCCTCATCCTGGAGGAGAGAACGTTTCATTTCTGATCCAGTTTATTCGAGCAGATAAAGGTGCGAGGGGCGTGAATAACTTACAGGTCGAACACCAAGAAGAAGAAGGCTTTGGACTCGTAGCAGTCTTTGAGCTGTACTGGAGATGAGAGTTCACTCAGCTAAGTCAAGCATTGCCGAACAAAATCCAAACAGACTGAACCGGTCCTGAGACAAAAGAGCTTACTGATGTTTTCCTGCCCACAGACTTTCTTTAGGATGTCGATCTCCTTCGTCGTGGCCTCTCGGATCTCCTCGATCTCCTGTGCCGTCGTCTTGTCGGACGGGGTGATGTCGATGATCTTCACAGCGTATTCCTGAGAGGTGCGCTTGTTGACGCAGCGACGCACCACGCTGCTCACTCCTCTGAGACGAAGAAGAAGAAATAAAATCAGCCCACAGTTATACAGACTCGATATGTTTGCTCTAAACTGATTTGTGGTAAACTCTCATGGTTGAGATTTTTTTTTTCATAGATGTCTTTAAGCTACAAATCAGATTTTTGTATTTGTTTAAATTCCAATGGCATTTCCACAGGAACTTCAGCGTTTATCCCCTGTGATTTGGAAGAGTTACTGTAGGTTTCKCTCTGTATGCACACTCATAACTACAAAATGGTCTATTACAGGTCAGGAAATCAATACTTAAGAAGTAAAAGAAGCTGTATTTTAACTTTGTTCCATGACATTATGTTAGCAAACCCCTTGGCTCCACTCAGACTTTAGCAGAGTCAGAATTTCTCAAACCTGAGATTGTTCAAAGAGCTATCTACAACAGGTAAGACATTAACTGTTCATAATATTTCCATAGAATCACACTTCAGACAAAAGTATTCAAGTCTTGTCTACTGTCAGGTAATCAGCCAAGTATTTTAAGTAAAACTGTCTTAAGTGAAACTGAACAGTTTGTCGTCTGAGGTAAACTAAACCTACTTTCCAAGAACACAATGTTCTCATCCTTCAGTAACCTGATGATCTGCGTGTGACAAAGGTTACATAGTTCAGCATCACTGCACTTCCTGAGTTCCCTTTAATACGAAACCTTTTGTTCACAATTCTGTCTGAAGGTAATAAATGCAGCTTCTGGCACAGCGAGGCTTACATAACGTCTGACAGCTGAGTGTGAATGACAGTGAACTGGCTCTAACTCTAAACCTGGAAAACCTTCAGGGGAGGTAGCTGTTCAAACCGAGGCAGAACATGAGCTGCATTTTTACGATGTGAATAATAGAATGACAGAAAGTGAGGCCTCACATTCTCTCTTTGCATTATCGTTTTTATATTTTGCTAACTTTCACAAGTGGTCACAGGACTACATAAGGATTTACCTCAATTATAACTTATTTGGTCTTATTTCAAGTTAGGACTTTTTAAATTCTGTGTGTTTTTAATAAACATACCTGCCCAGGATCTCCTTGGGCTCATATTTGTCATAGAACTCCTTGGCTCCCACCCAGTCTGGGATCTCCTCCTCTTTGGCCATGATGCTGGCTCACAACCAAAACATACACAGCTGGTTTCCTCTAATGGCTGCAGGAAATAAAACAACTCAAATGAGGCCTGACTAAATCAAACATTGACCTTGCACTGAAATTACACATGATGGGTCTTTATGGTAGATTAAAAACATCAATAAATGAATATTATGGAAAGAATAATAATGGAAGAATAAATTACTCTAATTTTGCATCTTTTAAAGCCACATGCTTGTCAATCAACTGGAGTGGCTAATCAGGTTTTCAGTGTGGCAAATGCCACCTCTCTGGCTCTGACCCTGGATGTACAGTACTTAATCTTTAGTTTATAATATAGTAATAATGTGGAATCACTCAATCACTGAAGGATTAAATGAAAACTCAAAACTACTGGTTTTACAGCTGAAGTCTCTGAAACATCATGAAGTTCAAACTCGAACATGAAAGGTTTTCTGTCATTACTAACTTAACTAATTTATATCTTTATGGAATTCTTGTCAAGTGGGTTAAATTTTTGTATTTTGATACAGATAAATCTGCTCTGTTCACATCAGTTAAATTAACAAATAAATAGCTTAAAAACCAAGTTTCCTGTCAAGTGCTTTCTCTTACTGACCACCCTTTTGTAGCTCCAATATAAAAAGGAAAATAAACGTGCTGACTCACCGTTATCAGTATCTCCTATTTTGCAGTTTCCATCGTTTAAAAGCTCTTTCTGCTCAAAGTATAAAAAACCACCAACAATCAGGTCCAGTAACTCCAGTTCTGATGCACGTTTCTGGGATCTCTGGTGCCGTGTTGTGAAGGGTGAGCTTTAATGTCAGTTGCCAAAAATAAACCRGTGCTTCTGTAGCTGCAACTCTGCCTGGACGCACCAAGCCCAGATCTATGAACACTCAGCAGCTCTTTCTCTCACAGAGACGTTTGATTCACTCCTTCATTCAGACTGGAGTCATGTGACAGGAGCTGCAGATCTCTGTCAGCTCCTCTTCGTAGTTCTCGAAAAAAATGTTTAAATAGAAAAGTTTCAGTGACTGAAGAGGTGKTGAAATAAATGACAGCATCACTTTGCTTCAAGTCTTTTATTTTCTTTCTTGTAGGAACAGTGTGTTATTGAGACAGAAAATATTGTTTTGATAGTTGCAATTTTTTTGAGAGGAAACCTTAATTAAAACACACTAATGAACTAATTGCCAATTTTATTAGAGTCAAAGCATGACACAGCAAAATATATAAACATTATTTATAGGACTATGATTACAAACTTTGCAGCAGTGTTCTCACAAATAACAGATGTCTGAAGATGATTAGTTAAAATGAAACCTGGTTATTGACAGCTCCCTTAAAAATTACGCCCTGCTAGTATCTAATGTGATTATGTGATCTTCATGCTGCAGGTCTCCATCTCAAGACATACCTGTGGAAAGAAAAATAAGGTCAAAAATATAAACTTTGTTATATAATTTTAGCAATATCAGTGCAATAAAAAAGAGCTGCTTTAAGAGAGGGAAAAGCACACGCCGCCTCCTTGTGGCTATGCAGAGTACTGCAACACTTTTCACAAAAATGCAAAGTCATCCTTTTAACACGTTTTGCAAATTGTATAAATCCTCTCCTGTAATCAAGGGGATGAGAATTACAAAAAATAATCTTTTGAGCCACTGTTTTAAAAAAAATCAAACATGACAACATTGTTCATAATTTCAATTGAATAAAGAACAAAAGAGTATTTGTGATAAAACAGTATATAGTAGTTTTTAATTCAGTCACCAGTGTGAGAATCCCTGGCTCTTGCCCCAGTCAGACATCAAAGAGATTTAARTAATAAATATACAAGTGTTTCCTTACAGCTCCTTCAGAAAGTATTTTCTTTTAAAGTAAAGTTTAGGAAACAGGATCAAAACAATTAACTAAGATAAATTTCGAGGTCACRGGGAGACATATTCAGACTAAATAAAAGAATAAAGTTGAAAGCTGTAAGCAAATCAGTTTAAAAAAATACATTTTCCTTCACACAAATAGTCAAATACATGTTTGTTTTACCCACCATTAGCAAACCGGCACTGTTTGAGCACCTCGCTAAATCCCTCGCAGAGTTTCAGATCACTCTGRTTTTGGGCGCACTCCAGGAACTGTTTCATCTCGTAGGAACATGCCTGCTGCTGCATCTGCTGCTGTGGCTGCTGCTGGTACGGCTCCTGACAAACACAAGGAACAAAAAGATAGGATGTTTGATTTATCTCCTGCACATTTAAACTGCTTCATAAATCCTTTGTTTCTAGAATAGGTCAGTTTGTATTAACACTAACACTGTATAAACAACATCTACTGTAAAGATATACTGGACAACTCAAGCTTGCATGTGATCTGCTAGAGGCATTTCTAAAAAAATCATTAGTAATAGATATATTACTAGATTTATTAGAAGTATATTACAGATTACGATACAAATCTGGTTATGCTGATGGTTTACATAAAAGTATAAGTTATTTAGACATTTTCCCAGCAAACAACCAAATTACGTTCATACCAACACACCCAAAAGACAACATTGAAATGTTTGCAGATTTTATTCTAAACTATTCCACAATTCAATCAATAAAAATGAAGAAAAAAAAATCATCCTAATCATTTAGAAGTAGAAAAAAAAAGTTTAAATACTCACTAACATGTTTTAAATAACATTTTTTTTGTTCGGTGTTGTTGAAGTGCCATACTTGTTGATGGTCACATTTGCTGACCTCTAGACTTACCTGACCTGCTGTGYGTTAAACACACACTAATCTTACTTAACACTATTCCAGGATACAACTAAATTTACCTGGTATGTGACATCAGGCTTGGAAGCCTCAGAGTTTCCTCCGCTGAAGGCTCCAGTCATGGCGTGGCCTAGAGTGTGTCCAACTGCAGAGCCCACCGCCACGCCGGCAGCTGTGGTCGCCATTTGAGCGAACATACCCGGCTGCYGGGGCGCTGCGGCCGGCGCCCCTACAGCAGATGGAGGGGCCTGCATCGGAACCGGGGCGTTGGATGAAGGGGGTGCAGCGCGGGCTACAGGTGGCGCCCGGCTGTAAAGAGAAAAGGTAAACTTTATAAGTACCGAACAAAACATTAACCGGTTTATGTGAGAAAATACTTAGTCCTTCCCAGGTTAATCTGTCTTCTAATAGGAATAAATGTCAAGACAGTTACCTAATGATGATAGGGGAATACTCTTACCTATGGACCTTTATAATGCATTTAGTTCAGATCMATAATTTTTTCAACCTTTTCACTTTTATTCATCATGAATATAAAATCTTGTACAGGAGGTACACTGAATAGTTGTGTTAAAACAGTGGAGTAAACACTTGGAGTTAAGATCAAGGATCCCAGATTTTCTTTATGTTGGTGTACACAATTACATTATCCAGAATTCATCCATTTCTGTATAACAGCTTGATGAGGAAAACACAACTTGAAACACATTTAAATAAGATAATTAGAACCACTGGCAGTCTGGGCAGCACAGGAAACCTTATGACTTAGACTGAATACATTAAGTAAAAAAAAATGTTTAACTGTTATTACATTTAAAAAAGCTYAAGTCCAATTCAAACTTAAGTGATGTTTAAAGAATTACAAGACGGTATATTGGAGCTGGTTTTAAAGTAACCTTGATTACACACTGTTATCTTGATGACTGACGCACATTTTACACTGTGACCTTCATAATTTCAAACACGTCTGCAATGACACGACTTTGCTTGCAAATGAAAAACAATAAATAAATGTCCAATTAATAAATGTTAACATAAGTTATTTATTGCACCAAGCAGTATTAACTCTCCTGGCACGCACTTGTTTCACTGACGCTGAAACAGTTAGCATGTCGGCTAGCTCAGACACGGCGAACTCAGAAAACGGAAACAACCTTTCATAAATACAATCAAATTGTACTACCTGGCTGGAGCGGGCAACCTAGAAGTCCTGCTTCTGCTTCCTCTTGGCATTTTTTTTTAAATTACCTCGGTATATTTAACTGTACGGTGTRCAAAAACCTGAAGCAGTGCTTAGCTTCCAAAGCTCACGCTCTCCGTTTTAATTCGACCTTAGGTTTATCCGGAACGTTCCATGTGTTACATCATTTGTCCTCCGATTAACTTCCGGTGCAACTAAGACAATTGTGTAACTGACAAGTATCTGTACCGCACAAAGAGAATTTTATAGTTTAAAGCCTCAGTCTGCATTTTATTTGTTAAATTATAAAATYATTTAAAAAGTGACACTAAATATGTGCAAAGGTTTTTAAACCACTTCTTAATGCGGTTTTTTCAACAACAAAAACAATTAGTATAGTTATATAATTGTAATTTATATAGTGCTTTTCGATCCAACCAGGTTACTCAAAGCACTTTATACTACAATATGCGCTCTCATTTAACTATACACTCACATTCACACTGCACTTTAAATCTCTCAACAAAGCTAATCTATGTGCTTTATCTCACATTCATACACTGATGGGACACACATCRGATGCAGTGGGGGTYCAGWATCTTGTCCAAGGACACTTTAACATACGATTAAATAATGTTGGAATTGAACTGCCAACTCTTGTACTGAAAGACATTTCCCCTAACCAATCAGCCATAGCCGCCCCAAAGCATATGAACTAATCTCCAAATAATCTAAAAGTTTCAGGATTWGTGACAAAAGGGTAATAACAAAGATCAGAAGAAAGATGTACAAGAGTGTAGTGAGAAGATGGAACAGCCAAAAGAAAAAGATTTTTAAAAAAATCGCTGTTGTAAAAGTAATGTYGCACAAAATCACTGTAAATCTTTTGCATACATTTTATTTATGATCAAACATCAAATCCCAACATTTAAAAATTTTGTATTTTTTTCTTTGATGGGTTTTTTTTCATATGAACAAAATTTTACAGAAATATCTGGCCAGTCGCCAGTACGTGGCTCCAATTACGAGCTTTACAGTACTTTAGAAACATACACCGTCASTATGTACATAAAATTACAAACTATACATAAATTTGTCACTAAAAATTATATCAAACTCAACGTTCTATAACTTTATTTGACTCTGACGGTTTATTTWAAAAAGTGTTATTTAATTATCAAATTATTTAGTAACTAAAGAGGCCGGCTATTCTTTGTTCCCTTTTTTCTTTTTTTGCCTCTGATGCTGTCCACCTCCACCTCCTCTTCCTCCTCTGTTTCCATGGGTTCTTCGTTGCTCCCATGTTGGCATCGGAGGCTCAATCTCTCCCGGCCGTCCTCCTCTGTCTGGTACACTGCCCATCAATATCTAAAGACGCAACAGAAAACAATTAGAAAGAAAAAACTAAAGGAAAAAAAAGACAACTGTGTTTTTAAATACGTGCTGAAGATTATACTTTGTAAACCGGAGTGCTCTTTCCGGCTTTGATTGGTTCAATGAAGGACTGATCTTCTCTGGCAGCCAGCAGATGAGATAAAGACACTTGGAAGCCTCCTGCAAGGGATACAAGAGGAGGCACCGAGGCAAGTGCTGCTCTGCGCTCCTGTATGTTAGGAAAAATAGCAAGGATGGTTTGAATCTAACATGAAATAGCTGAAAAGAGTYGATGAATTCAACTGAACATGAGGTAGATTTTAAACTGACATGTTGGGTAGAATCACTGATCAAAGCTCGAAAAAAACCCCACAAAATAAGAACTTATTGTTTTTGGAAATATGGTGGTCCATTTACCCCAAATAAACCTCCACACAGTTGAAGCAGTTGAGAGTTATCTTTATGCTTTCACATATGAATATTTGAACTGTAGTTAAAACAGGTTATTTATGTAATGTTGGGTTGTAATCACAAGATGGGGCTGTGTCACAACTTAATCTATAGTATGTTAGCTATGAAGCTAAATTTTAGCTTCATTTAGTTTGGAGGAAATTTCTCTTTAATGGTTACAAATTTTTGATTGGGGTGTGTGTGGGGGGGTGGATAGAGAAGGTCACAGGTCAAGGTTGGTTGTCTCGTTTGTCTCTATGTGGCCCAGTGATGGACTTGGGACCCGTTCAGGGTGTAGCCCACCTCAAACATGGTGACAGCTGGATATGAACTCCAGCAGCACCTGTGACCCGGAAAGGAAAAGCTGGTAAAGAAAATGGAGGGATGGATTTGTGATGTTAACTTGGAAGGCAACAGACTGGGTCTTTTTCCTTAATACAGTATTTCTGCCATGACAGAAACTACTGCTAATAACAAATGTAACGTTTATGCAACATAAACATAACAATAAATTAGTTGAACAATAAACTATTGTGTAAAATGAGTTGAATGAATTTAACCGGAGCACCTTTTGTTTGTCTCCCCACGCAAACGACTCGAGCGTGACCTGGAAACGTTTGATCATCATCTGTCGCCGGCACCTGTAGTCCTCTGACAGAACCTGGTTGATCTTCTTCACTTCCACCTGGAGGACACGAAGGGGAAAAAACGTTGTGAATGTTCATGACCTAAAGAGTTTTGTTCGATGTCATCTGAAGTGAGAGCTTACCCACTGGTCTGAGCTGAGGCTGGCGGTGAGAAGAGGGTTCGTCATGTCTCCACCTGGAAGACGATCAATCCTCGACTTCACCTGAATTAAATTTTTTAAGCTCTTGAGTCTTTGTAAGTCATAAGGATGGATCACACGCTATCTTTTTATGAGGGTTACCTCAGTCTGTGTATCTTCAAACTGAGAAGAGGCGTCCAAACCGAGTGATCGCAGCAGTAAAATCCATTCTGCCTGCATCTCCGCCGTTTTATTGTCCGAGTCGTCGACGTCACAAAACTCACAGCTTTGATCCTCGACTCGCTGCTCCTTCACAGACTCCTCTCCAGTCAAATTCTCCTCTGGGTGCAAACTTTTGTGCTTGATTATGCGAGCTGCTAGCAACTCTGACATAAGGAACTCTGCGGGGATGGAAGAATAGCACAATGAAAAGGTGCAAATCAAAATTACTGAGGTCAAACACAACAACAGCATCAGCACTGGTTCCACTTCTCACCAGTGATGTTGTTGAGGATCAACGGTTCCAGCACATCAGAGGTCACAAYGGCGAGTGGAGAAAACATGTCTGATAGCAAGTTTCTCAACTCTTCCACCAACAACACCTCACCCGAGCCAGCTGAGGTGAAATGTGAAACACAGAAGAGTTTTTTTCTAAAAACATTTCAAATAAAGTTGTTGGTAGTTCTTGCAAAAASGAATGCAGCTCCAACAATTACAAAATAATAATTATTACTGCAGATATGTTGTTTGTTAATGCTAACTATTTATCATTTCAGGCCTCATTAGAAAAACAAAATGAGACCAGAAACATATCAAATAAAGGGGAAGATACCCAAAAGCATTATTTCCACCCACACAGGCACCAARATGCACAAAACGGGTATATTTCTGCAATTATCCTCAAAAACTAGAGTAAATCTCAGTTCATTAGGAAGTCTGTTYATGAATTAAACAATTCAAACACACAATGACACAATTAACAGCACAGACTGCAGTCTGTCTCACCTTGGAGCTCGGGAAGTAGAGTCCTGAGCTCAGCAGACAGCCAGGTGAGCAGCGGACAGGGGAGTTCATCACACTCGCACCGTGAGACACAGGAGCTGCCCGGGTACCTGAACAGGAAGTAGAGACACGGCAGGTGAATTTACCTGGCCGCAGTCCACAGGCGTCTACATAAACTGGAAAATCAGACTTTAACTGTTTAACATGCGATATCAGAACGAGGCTAACATCACGTTTAGTTTAGAAGCGCTACGTAGTTAAACAAGTTGCCATATTTAATGCAAGTAACGAAATAAGACTAGTCGCTACGTAGAAAAATGGACGCAAGATAAATAATAATAATAATAATAATAAACTATTCACCCCAGAGCTTTAATAGCTGAAACTGTCCGCACACTTCTCTCCATTGATAACAATTAACTTACACCAATATCTGTAAATCTGCTCATTGAGCAAGTAAAAGTTCAGGCTTGTTTACAAAGTTTACTTCCTGCTTTGACAGAGTTTATATTTGGACACATGTCGCCCCCTGCCGGTCGGAGTGCGCAAACAC